TCTGGACCCATAAGATTAAGGAAAAAGAAAAGTTTGGCAACACCAAGCATAGCAAGTATGTAGGAAAACAGAAACTCTTAAAGACTGCTAGTGGGAGTAGAGATTCATATAATCACTTTGAAGGACATTTGGCAATATTTAATATCATTAAAGATACACATACCTGACTCTCCTAGCAATTCCACCTTTAGATATACCCACTGAAGAAATTATCACATATGTGTACAATGAGATATGTCCAAAGTATAGACCCCACATCATTTTCTGTAATGGCAAAAAAAACCATACCAAATATAGAAAGGATGAATGAATAATGATATGTGTGTATAATAAAATACAAATATCATTATTAAACACATATGAAGCATTGTATGTTTATAGTTTACATATTATAAATAACATATATTATAATATACTGCATAATAGGTAAGACAAATGAGCCAGTCTACCTTTATTTAAATAAAGAAAAATCCAGACAACATAATGTTGGGAAAAAACTCAAGTTGCAGAACAATGCCTATAATATGATACCATGTAAATGTTAAACACAATATTGCATGCTTTATAGAAGCATATATTTGTGTTTTATAAAATATAATGTATTTTATAAAAATTCACATGCATATACATATATAATGAGAGTATGAAAATGAAAGGATAATTTCAAAAGAGTGGTTCACTCTTTGGGAGAGAAGTATATAGAATCAAAAAAGGCAGTAACAGAGGGGGCTTAATTCTTTCAGGCTTTCTTTTCTTTTTTTAAGTTTATTATTTATTTAAGACAGAGAGAGAGAGAGAGAAAGAGAGAGAGAGAGAGGTGGGGAAGGGGCAGAGAGAGAGGGAGAAAGAGAATCCCAAGCAGGTTCCACACTGTTGGATGAGGGGCTTGATCTCACAAACTGGGAAATCATGACCTGAATCAAAATCAAGAGCCAGATGCCAAACTGACAGAGCCATCCAGGTGCCCCAAGTTTCATTTCTAACATTCACTGTACTGTATTCTGGAATATAAATAATATCCAGGATAATAATAATATACTGTATCCTAGATATAATATTTGTTACATCGCTGGTGTTAGTCATAGCTTCCTTTGTACTTAAAGGGAGAAAAACCACACATAATGTGGGTAGGCCTCATCCAGTCAGTTGAAGGCCTTAAAAGAACGAAGACTGACCTTCCCTGAGCAATAAGGGATTCTGCCAGTGTTCAGCCTTTGGACTCGAGCCCAGTCTTCCCTGAGTCTCCGGCCTGCTAGCTTACCCAGCAGATTTGGGGCCCATGAGGCCTCCACAGTCACGTGAGCCAGCTCCTCAAGAGGCTGGCTATAGAAGGATCTTCCGGAAAGACAACTGCAGAGGCCCTATGAAAGGGGTAAGTGTGGCGTGTCAGGGACAGAAGGGAAACGTGTGGTGGAGAGCAGTGATCAAGGCAGGGTTCTTTGAGGAACGTTGTCTGGGATGGGGCTGGAGCAATAATCTGGGGAGGATCAAGCCAGCTCTGTGGGCCCCAGGGAGGAATTTGGGTTTTACTCTCATTGCAGTTTGATTATGTTAAGAACAAGGGACAGTAGAAGAATGATGGAGACTAGTTAGGAGGCTGAGAAGGAGGCCAGATGAGAGATCAACACCAGTTATTCACACTGTGACAAAGTCCAGAACTTTTTCCTATGGGAGGGGCTTAGCAGCAAGGCAAGAAGCTCTGGGACAGACACTGCAGTCTTGCTGGCAGTCCTCCTCATTGAGTGTGAGCATAACCTTTCCAAACGAACCGACATTAATTGCCTTTGCAGAATATTAAAAAATTAGAAAAAGGCCCACTACAAAATTCCTTCACAAGGCCCTCTGTCAAAACTGCTGGGGTTTCCATTCTTCATAATTCTGTGGTTGCACAGTGTAGTAAGGTGGCCTTCAAATTTGCAGGGAGGTCCTTCCCAGGGGGCGGGTGGAAAAGCATCCTGGGAAGGAACCAGGTTACATCAGCTCCCTGGTCTCCAGCCTGCTAGGAAGGATCGTGAGAAGCAGCCAAGAGAGACCAGCAAGTCATTCCATCTGGATCCTAACACCAAACTGAACCATGTAAAAGCTAGAAATGTGCTCTGGCTCTAAGGAAAGCTAACAAAAACTGTAAAAGAACTTGAGAATCTTCAGCGGGTTCTCCCATAAGCCCCTCATAACCAATGGGAACAAAAGTCCAGTAAAAGTTGAAGCCTTGTGGTCTCTGAAGTAAGCTTGCTGAGAGAGGAGAAGTGGTACATGGTTAGGACATGGGTAGGACAGCATACCTAGATGTGCTTGAGATCATCAAAAGATGCTCATGAAGTAGAGTTCAGCACTGCATTTCGGGATCTCTCTTGCACTCGGGATTTTCCAAGCTCTTACATGTCAGAGAGCACACAGCACCCTACTTTACTGCCTCTAGTACTAGCACCTATGGCCAGATATTCATCTCATGATCACAAGTGAGGGAGGAGACCTGAGACAAAGATCTGGGGGGTCTCTGCTCTTCTTTGCCATCACAATGAACGTTAGTGCTCCCCAGGGTCTCGGCCTCGGCCTTCTCTCATCATTCTTCCCAGTTCACTCCTGGAAAGCCGCATCCCTCCTATGCTTTTCATTAAGTGCTAAGAACTCCAATATATTATCTCTAGCCTGTTCCATTAATCCAATTGCCAAATGGATATTTTCACATGACTGCCCCAAAGACATTTCAAACTCATCATATCCCAGATAAGCTCATTGTCTCCTCTTCTTTTCTAATCTCCCATCCTCCTGTGGTCCTTCTCCCAACTGACAGCATGCCACCTCCTGCCTAGCCCCACAAGCCAGAGACCAGTGGTCTTCATTTCCCTTGTCCTTTCCTACCCACTCCCAGCCTGTCTAAAGCTAATTAAAAGAAAAGGATGAAAGTGTGAACTTCCACAGGGAAAAATTAGCTGACCGAAACAGTAACATAAGAAAGGCAGTTTATGGAGTGCATGATAATGGAAGGAAGGGGGCACCTGGGTGGCTCAGTTGGTTAAGCATCCCACTTCGGCTCAGGTCATGATCTCATGGTTCATGGGTTCGAGCCCCGCATCGGGCTCTGTGCTGACAGCTAGCTCAGAGCCTGGAGCCTGTTTCAGATTCTGTATCTCCCTCTTTCTCTGACCCTCTCCTGTTCATGTTCGTTCTCTCTCTCTCTCTCTCTCTCAGAAATAAATAAAACATTAAAAAAAAGTTTTTAAAAAATGGAAGGAAGATGGTAAACCAGTGCAGTAGCTACCATCCCATTATTTTAAACAGAGCTCATGATCAATAAACAATTATATTTCAAAAATATAAGATATGATCCATCTTTTCTTTATCATAGAAACGTGAAATTTTGTCTTCTTAAAACAGAAGATAATGACTTACATGACTATTATATTATTTACATTATACTGTATATTATGTTTTGCTTATGATTTTGATAAATATTTATATAAACGAAAATAAACAAGTTACAATAGCAACAAATTATTACATGTAAAACTCAAGATCTTATTTTTTAATCAAAGCTCCAATCGAATTTTTAGGTCAACTTTATCTTCCTCACTTTAAGCAACTGTTTCAAATAGAACTGCCTGTTAAAGTACCAGGATTTTGAATTACATGAACCAACATTTTCAATTTCTCATTCCTGCTGTTAAAATGAACTGCCACCCTTGTAATCAGGGATGACAACATCTTCTGTCCAATGACACAGAAAGTACAAAGTACTGATTTCCTCAGTGCTTATCGTAAAAAGGGGGGAAAGGCAATATGAAACAGTGGGGCTAACATGTAATTGGCCATGATCTTTCTATTTGTCTTTTGACTCTAATGTCACTCTTTCTTCCAAGGTCTTCCAAGCAGAATGGGAAGAATGGAGGCTTATGACTCAGTCCTGGAGGGGGAGGGGCTCCTCTGGGAATGGACAATTACTGAGGCCTAACTTGCCAAAGAACATATATTTTCAAGGAAAGCTAGACAGCCCCATAATGATCTGACTGCAAAAGCAGCCCATTAGCAGAGAGCCTACTACAAATAATATTTTTCTTTTTAGAAGAGTTTGCCATGTTATAGGCTTGGGGGCCTATTTTTGTGGATATATTTATGTGTGACAGGATACTAGTTAAAAGAGAGAAGCTTTCAACATGATTCAAACCAAGATATCCTTTGGGACAAGTGTGCCCTCTGAGAGAACTCTATTTTTGTTTTAAAGCACTTTTGTTGTACATGGAGCCAATTAGTCCAAATCAGCCACAATTTACAGAAGCAAATTGAGGCAAGAAGCCACTTCTTTTCTTGAACTCCAAGAAACTAAGAAGTCAGTGAAATGTGTGCTGGGTACATAGAGGACTTGAATTAATCAAGTTTCTAGTGTTAAATGGTTTATTAGGTAATATCTGCTCAGGCTTCAACAAACCCACCTGGCAGCCTTAACTACTTAATGGAAACATAGATCAAAGTAATAGAATTTTTAGGTTAAAGATCATAAAGTTCAATTTCTTCATTTAATAGCTGAGGAAAATGAGGCTCAGATAAATTGACCTGCTAAAGAAAAAGATGATTTGCTCAAAGTCACTCAACCGTTAATGGAGAGCTGACCTTGGGATTGCTAAACCAATGCCCTGCCCACCACATCCAAAGGGCATATCTGACTCATGGCAGAGGGTGGCAACAGGCATTGCCATTTGAGAGAAGCCCTAGTATAGGTAAACAGCAGGCACTGTTTTCCCCACCCAGCAGTGTTGTATTTGTGGTGATAAATTAGCCCACAGTACATGCAGAGACCACAACCACTTACTGTTTTCTAAATTCATCATGAGTTTGCAACTCACTGAGAAACCTTTGAAAAACTGCTTGTGAAAATAATTTCAAAGACTCTTCTTAGGCAGCACAAATAAAAGGATGCCTTTATTCTTTCTGCCCTCCTGCTGGATTAGCATAGCTCCGAGCATCGTCAAATGAGGTTCCATCCCGGAGACCTCTGTACTCACCATGGAACCAGGGGGCTATGGTGTCTGAGGTTTTCTGGTAGCCTGCTCGCAGCGGCAGCTGCTCCTCTTTAAACCACCGAATGATGTCCTCCTGGGCAGAGCTGGATGCCATCCTCGTCACTCCCTGATTTCTGTAATTTAGAAAAAGGTTTTCAAGTTGGATTTAACTAATTTGAAAGCAATGCCTTCAGAACTCATATATATCCTATATATATAATCGTGTATATATTATACATATTTGAAAATCTAATTACATGGGCTGAGCTAAGGGAATGTTAGACCCCTAGTTACTGCCATCATACAACTTCTTGAGAGCTAGTTAAAAAATAGGAAAGAGGGGCACCTGGGTGGCTCAGTTGGTTGAGCATCTGACTTTGGCTCAGGTCACAATCTCACCATTCGTGAGTTCAAGCCCCACACTGGGCTCACTGCTGTCCATACAGACCCCACTTCAAATTATCTGTCCACTTCTCTCTGCCCCTCCCCAACTTGTGCTCTCAAAAATAACATTTAAAAAAACAGGAAGGAACGTACATCTGCCACTTGTCCTTCTGGTCCAGTGGGGCTAGTCATGGCCATGAGCTACCGCTGTGTTAAAACATGGATTTAATTCATTTTTAATGTGAATAAAAGCTCCATTAACTCCCAATTAAAGTTTGAGAAAATAAGCACTAAAAAGTAAAATACACCCCAGCACTATTTTCCTTGGGACTATGTTCTTGCAAACAAAAGAAAGCAAATTCAATAAAATAATTTCCTTCCTAACATGTTCATTATTAAACTTTCTCTTCTTTCTGTTTCCACCTCCCTGACTTGCTTTCTTCTCTCCCACTTTGAAGAAGTTTGATTCTGCTAGAGAGAGCCTCAGAACTATAAAGTAAAAAGAAAGAAGAGTGTATGAAGATCGGTAAGAAAAAGATACAAGCAGCAGAATCATTTTGAAATATATCCAGTAGCAGAACTTAAGTTCTGGGATGTAAGTCAATTTCCATTACAAAAGTAACATTGCAATGTAATAAACACATTACCAAGTCTCACACCACAGCCCACTAATTTTGAGCAGAATTCAGAGTAAAAACAATGAGGAGTTTGGATGAACTACTGGGCTGCCTGTCATATATATTAACGTATGGCTCTTTATGCATTTTATGGTAACATATGTCACCAAGAGTTACGTGTGACATATATGTCAGATGTACATATATGCATGTAAATTTTCACATATATACATAAATAGCAGTTTGGAAAAATAGCCTATAATAGTATCAGACACTGCACACACATAAGATTATGTGATGAGTGCTTTTATTAGCCTTCAATTAGGTTCTTTTTCTTCGGGAACTCTTTGGAGATTAAGCAAAACATCTCAGGACAGCCAATCTCTGTCTTTTCTTGGGCTGGCTCCTAGCTGACCTTGGTCATCACTGTTGTCCCAGCCCCAAAACCATCCATTCTGGCTGCCTCACAAGAAGCATTTCACACAAGTGTATTAAGTTGGAAAAAATGAGCTAACTGAGCACAGCTCAAAACAAGAATTGCCCTTATTAAAGGCCACCTTCATTGCCGTCAATCACATACACTGTGCTCTGAAAATACTGTGGGCCAGGACATATTACAAGGCACAGCCCCACCCTTGAAAGAGCCTTGAGAACAGAGGCAGGTCCACAAAGAGCCCAGCTAGGGATCTGTGGCCAATACACAGACAAGCCTGGGTGCTGGAGAGGACCCTGTGCCGGACGTCACACCTTTGTGCCTTGGTCACAGAAGTGCGAGGATTCCTGTTTCTGATTGCCTTTCTTGGGTTTTTGTCCATAAGAAAAAAAATCATTCCCCAAACTGTCGCGTTGTAGACCATGATCATTTAGTTCTGGTCCCCAAGTCACAAAATGGAATCTCTTAGTTGAGTAAGTAGAAATAATTATAGTAGAGGAAAAGGTTCACCTTCCTGTTTCCTCTGAGATCATAATTCCCATTAGGAAAAGCTTTGAAGATAACTACTGACTCCAAGCAAAGGGAGGATTTGTTTGCTTTTTATTTCTCCATACTTGTAACAGAGAAGTATTTTTAGTTTTTATTTCAGAAGGCAGAGCTTTCAGACAGTTCTGTTTCATTCACTCTTTGATTTATCACGTATATTTTAAATATTATCTTTCTACATATTAGAATATTACAAAAATCATAATATCCAGGAGAAAATAATTTTATAATCAGTTAAATAACATAGGAGAAAGGGGTTTCTGCTATGATACCATTCTATTTTTCTTCAGGGATTTTACAAAACAAGTTGCTCTAATTTCCCATAGCCTTGGAGGCAAAGGCATCATCACAACCAAAAAGGTGTTCCTTCAAAAAAGAAACAGTTCCAAATTCTCAATATATGAGCTTGGCTCTCTATCCCAGAACAAGGATTACCATCAAACCTTTCATCCTGAGCAATGAAAACAGAACTGTACTGAAGCTGTGAAAGTCAGCAAGCCATTAGATTCCTACTTTGATACTGTTCCCTCCTAAGAGCAATACTGAGCACTGATGAAATCCCTGTTGTTTCTGCTTCTCCCCTCGTTGGCTCCCCTGCAGCGCAAGGGGGTGAGGCTACACTAGTAGCATAGGAAGGCACTGAACTCGATGTGCACCCTAAGTTACTGGGTATCTTAATTACAATAACTGGATATTTTATAGGTAAGAATGGGATGAATCCAGACCAGGTATCTCAGGAAGATAGGCTTGGAGGGGAGGCTGAATTGAATTACACAGGCAGCCAGCTGGTGCTTCACTCCCCATGGCCCGTCATGCAATTTGTCTTTAATCAGGCAGTTTTAACCGTTATGCTTAAAGCCATCTGTGTGGCTTCTTACCTAAGAAGCTTTCGAGGGTATCCCGCTGGGGTTAGGAACTGAGGCTTGGGTGGAAGGGGGGGTCTTTTTGGTTTCTGAGGGATGCTTGGGGGGCTTTGTGGTCCCTCACTGCTTCTTCCTTTTTCAGCCGCCAGCGATAACCTCTTGTAGTCTTCCCGCGCTTGTTTAGCCAAAGAGCGTCTCTTCTCATCAGCTGCTTTGGATTTTCTCACTAGGAACATAAGGGGGATTGAGAAAGCCCCAGGTCAACCCACAGAGATGGTGAGAAGACTCAGCTGGGGTAGAGAGCAGTCTCTCAGCAGATTCTGTCATCTGATGACGATAATGAACAATCAGTGTCAACACCTATGACTCACATAGTCAGGCCTGCACATTCACAACTGCCCAATGTTCACTGCAGAAATCCTGTCTTTCTATGGGAGCTTTAGGACTTTCTAAGAGAGAGAAGAAGGAAGAGGAGGAAGGGAGGAGATAGAAATGGAGAACCACGTGTATGTGTTTTAGAATTTCCTGCAGTTGGCAAGACTAAGTGATGAGTCACAGACCAAGTGGGAATTCCAACTGGCAGGGGGTCTTTGGATAAGAAAAGGTGATGTCACATCCCTCACATGGAACTCAGGATATCACCAGCAAAGAGCAGGCTATGAGGAACTCCTCAGTGCAGTGGCTTCTGTCTGTGGACAGGGTGAAAGAGCGGTGAGGCTCACCACAGGTCACACACAGAGTCCAGAGAGAGCTGAACCAAACATAAACTGGCCTGCCAGACCAAAAATATAAAATAAAATAAAGTGATTCTCACCATAGACAGAGAATGTGTTGATACACATAAAAGCACCCCAAGGCCACCTTTAAATGTTGCTTCATAAAATACTGTTTATTGTTTTGTTTTGTTTTTGTTTTAGCAACACAGCAGTAAAGGACTCTAATGCAGGATGTTAGGACTAATTTTTATTGAGTGTATTTGCACTTCAGGCATTATTGATCAAACTCTGTTTGGTTTGACTTCAAATAGATACCAAGAATGTTCCATTACACTAGAGTTTCACTGCATAGAAGTGACTGGATCTTGCAAATATCTTCATTTCACAAAAGCTGCCATGTTAATGGTATTCACTGTAATGGAACTGAACACAGTATTCTCCACAGCCTGAAAACACTGCCACTCCTGTTCTCGCTCTCAAGAGGTTTCTAGGGATGACCTGGTAGGTAAACCTTTTTCTGGGTCAGCTGTTTCAACCCTGCATTCTGCCCTAGCATCCCTGAGCAGGCTCTGCTCTGCCTTCGCCTGAACTGAGCTCTTCCTGAGGAGATCTATCTCTGGCAGTGCTAACTCTAAAAGGAGTCAGGGTTAGCTGACAGACATGGGAAAGATGCTGGTAAACTCAACTGGTTATTCCTGGGTTCTTCTATTACCAAGTTGGGTTCAATCCTGAAATTTAGAAAGAATAACAAGAACAAGAATTCAAATAAATCTCAGATCACACCTCTCCAAAAAAACTAATGTTGACAATAATAATAACCTTCCAGTTCTTTTGCTTCATATACTCAAACATTTTTAAATTGGGATATTTGGGGACACCTGAATGGCTCAGTTGGTTAAGTGTTCGATTCTTGATCTCAGCTCAGGTAATGATTTTCATGGTTGTGAGTTCAAGCCCCATGTTGGGCTGTAAGCTGGGTGTGAAGCCTACTTATAAATAAATAAATAAATAAATAAATAAATAAATAAATGTTTTTCATACTATTTTGTAATATTTTTTCATCTCCAAGTAAAAAAAAAAAGATATAAACATATCCCAAATTCATTAAATACTCTTCTAAAACATGTTTTTTCATAGCTATATACCATTCCATCAAATGGATATAACAGCTATGATGGTACAAAGATAGATGGAGAACCTTTTTACCACTATTCAAAAAGTGACCCATAAACCTTTGTGTAACAACTTAGTAATAATTCTCTCAACAACTATTTTAAGTGCTTCCTACCTTGATCGTTTATTAAGAGAAGGAATTGGCCTGGAGAGTCTAAGGTGTTGTGGAGGCCCTGCGGTACTCACAAGATGCCTGCCAATCTGAATCTTCTTTCCAGCTTTTATAGATCTGCTTGGTTTTCTCCTCAGCTATTTGTTTTAGTTCCTCATCTTGTGTTTTTTTCACGGATTCTTTCTTCTGTTAAAATAAAACAAACAAACAGAAACAAACACAAGTGAATGACTGGCAGTTTTCTGTGAGGAGAGGGGGAGAAGGGGAGGGAAAGGACGGAGTATACGGATGCGGGGGAACTCAGGGGTCGGTGTCTGTTTAACTCCCTTGGGGCCCCCTGGCTAGACAATTTGTTGTTGCAGGAAAAGCTTGGAGTCAGTGACACCTGAAGCTGACCCTACCACAACTTAGCTGTACAACTGCATGGCCCCTTACCAAACTCCCCTTAGGCTGTCTTCCCCTGAGTATAATCAGAAAATTGAAAATATTTTGGGGCACTTAGGTGGTTCAGTTGGTTAAGTGTCCAACTTCAGCTTAGGTCATGATCTTGTGGTTCATGGGTTCGAGCCCCACTTCAGGTTCTGTGCTGACAGCTCAGAGCCTGGAGCCTGCTTCCGATTCTGTGTCTCCCTCTCTCTCCACCTCTCCCCCACTTGTGTTCTCTTTCTTTCAAAACTAAACTTAAAAAAAAGAGAGAATTAAAAATATTTCATTGTGTTACAGTGAGGGTTAAATAATATTTATAAAGTGTCTCCCATAGTGTATAACACATAATAAGAACTCAATAAATATCCATTTTCCTCAAACACAGCACTTCTCTGTTTTAAACTGAATTCCCTGAAGTGGTGTGTAAATACTGTCTCATGGCACCAGTGTAAACACTGCAGTATCTGACAGGTTCCATAAAAATAACAGTACATTTCTACAGCAATCTCAGCTGTATCTCCATGTGCCCTCCCACCACTGTGTCTAAAAATGTGGTACTCACACATGATTTTAGGTGGCCCCGAAAGGAACATTGTTTTGTATTTTTTAAAAAGCAGGAAAATATTTTTACAAAGCATCGTCTTTGAGAAACTATAAAATAAGAAACATAAGTCTTCCGTAAAAAGGGAATTTGCTTTTTTTAATTGTAAAATATACATAACATAAAAATTACCATTTTAACCTTTTTAAAAGCTGTGGTAAAGTACACATAACATAAAAATGACCATGTTCCCTGTTGTGAGGTGGACAGCTCTATGCAAACTAGTACACTGAAGGAACTAGTTTTTAACTAAAGAGAAACTCATACACCAAATCACTTAGACCTAAAAAGTACTTTGTTTATCTGGGTACTGCATCCTGAGTGCTTATAAAAAACTGAACTTAGCACTTGGTGAACTAAATAAAAGCCTTGGTCACCTAAATAATGAAATAAGCTGAGAGGGTCCGAAAAGACAGATCTTGCTTTGTTCTCCAGCACAAAAATGATAGGTTTTTTTTCTATAGAAAGATACTTTCTTTCTGTTAAATTATTTCACCCCAACTGAAATATAAACCTGGATGTCATGAAACTTATTTTCAATCACTGTGGGAAGTCATAAATCACAGTTAATATAGGTAATAATTCATACACTGCATTTCACTTCAGATGTAACTTTTTTTCTCTTTCTTTCTTTCTTTTTCTTTTTTTTGAGAGAGAGTGTGTATGCAAACAAATGGGAGAGGCAGAGGGGGAGAGAGAGAATCTCAAGCAGGTTCTGTGCTGTCAGTGCAGAGCCCCACACGGGGCTTGATCCCACAAATGGTGAGATCATGACCTGAGCAAAATCAAGAGACAGATGCTTAACTGATTGAGTCACCCAAGCACCCCAAGATGTAACAAAACTTTTGTGTATTTATTATTTATTATTTTCATTTTTTTCTTACTTTCATTTCCTGCCTGGAGCTAAGCCTCCATGGTTTGCCAGTATTATAAAAACTAAAAAAAACAAAACCAAAAAAAAAAAAAAAAAAAAACCAGCTTCTGACATTTTAAATAACTGTTAGGGGCACCTAACAGTTACAAGTTGATCTCTACTTCCTACTTCATCTACTTAGAAAACCAAGCCAAACCATCATTTCCTTTTTAAAAGTGTTTGCTGGAAACATGTAGGCCCAGGATGGGGATGGGGAGCCAAGCATGGGAAAATCAAGATGGAGGCTGAGCAGTGAAGGAACCACAGGGCTGAGCCTGGACACTGGTCTGGACGCCCATGGGCTGAGGTTTAAACACGAGGATAGGCAGTTTGATGTCAAAACATCTCCTCTCATCCCAGCCTGTTAATGGAAATACTCTCCACCAGTTTCCTCATAGACCCTCTCCATTGCCTCCAAAGTGGGAAGGATCTGTTTTATCACCTTTGTTCTACAGAGAAGCTTGGTAAGTGATCTATTTGCTCATTCATTCTCTTGAATTCCCATATAATTTCTTAGGTTAGAGAAAGGGTGTATTGGCCCATGGCTCTAGGTGTTCTCCTGAGAGGGTGCAAAAATGAATGTCTTACATCTTAAAATGTCCAAGAACCAGTGATCTAGTCCATCCCCCTCATTTTGGAGACAAGATATTTCAGGCCCAGTATAAACACTGATGTGCCTTAGACCATAGATCACTTCTCTTTTCCATCTAAACTCACTCTCATCTTTCATCATGGCTTGAAATAACACCAAGATACCAAATTCCTTACAAGAGTCTACATAATTTCTCAGCACGGATCTCTTTAACTATGTCAAGCGAGCTCTTGCCTTTTGCCTTTATACTTGCTGTTCCATCAGCTGGGAACATACTTTCCCCCAGTCATCCACATAGCTCCCTCTCTCATTCCTTTAGTTCTCTACTAATAGCTCCTTTTCAGAGTAGCCTTCTCTGACCATCCCTATAAAAAAAACAATTCCCACCCTCCCAACCTGCCTCACCTCCCTTATCCTGCATTATTTTCCTCCATAGAACTTATGACCATCTGACTTCATAGATGTGTTTTTTGTCTATCTCCTAGATCCAGAATATAGGCTTCCTGAGGGCAGAGATTTTATCTATTTTTTTTTTCACTGTGTTTGCAATGCCTGTAACAGTGCCTAGCATAGAGGAGAAACTCAGAAGTTGGTTGAATACACAGATCCTTTGTCTTTCTCACTAGCATTTGAAATGAAGCAATATAATCTGGGTAGTGTTACTGAAATTTTCATTTAGATGCTCTAGAACAGCCCATATTATATCAGCATATGCACACCAGGACTATACTGCAAAAATTCATCATGGCTTCTCGAAGTCTCCATAGGAACTATCCCAGTTCATGCATGTCCCTGCAGACCAGTCAGGATATCGATCCCTAGTCAAGATCTAGTAGATCTCTGAGAGTCTACTAGAATGTGGGCCTTTACCATGGCCCCATCTCAGGCCTGTGGTCACTCAGAACCTTCTCTTTATAGCCTCGTATCTTACACTATGTTTTCAAACTTACTGCGAGTCAAATCCTACTATGGTTTCCAACTGCCAGTCTATGCCCCGTTTACTGTGATGAATGTATGATATAATGACAATCTAGCAAGATGGAGGAAACAGGCTTGGTCTATAGGAAGAATCTCATGTCTGGGTGGTTGTGTGAGAGATCTGAGTGCCCAAAGGAGCTCCTGGCACAGTGGACACGAACGGCACAAAAGGCTGCTTATGTTGCAGGGACAGGATCACAGAAACAATGAACACATTAGGAACTTAATTTGAATTCACTATTTCTACCAAGGTAAATGCCTCATTTATCACGCTCTGGTGTTGTCTCTCTTCCATGAGGAGTTTAGCAGATATGTCTTGGCATCTGCTCTTTCCATGATATTCAAGACTTTTCTGACTCCAGATAAACAGGTAAAGATGAATAGCTATGCTCACAAGCTTTTTAAGACACATCTCACATTCTGCTGCTTTCATTTCTGCATGAGACTAATATACCCATTTGTGAAACATTAGTGGAAATGGCTATGCATTTAGCCCTATGAAGACAGAATGTAAGCCTTTACCTGGTGAAATCCATATGCCTTCATACGATTCATAGAATCTGCCAACATTTGTTGAATATTTCTCGAGGAACTGGAGAGTGACTAAAAATTAAATGAAACACGTTTTTATACCATTTAGAGCTACAGTGAAGTTTCAGTAGATAATCTGTTAACGCTTCCCTCATTTCAATATTCCCTAACCTGCCCCACTCCCATAGGTGCATGCACCAAAGCTTTCCACCACCACCTAAGTCCCTGAGCCAATAATGACTAAGGCAGCAGGTACGGGACACCTCAGCCTCTCTACTCAGAGAGGATTATTGTTCAAGACCCTGGAGCCAGTGGTGGTTTGCTCATGACAAACGGGTTTCTCTTTTTTGCTCCCAGCTGGCCCCAGGGCCCCAGAATGACTTCTAGACATCACAATTACTCCTTAATTTAAATGCTCTTCTTCTCTTAACCCCTGCTCTACATCATCCCCTATTTTAGTTCAGACCAGAGAAATGCTTCGTCTCTGCCATTTAACTGCATGTGCCTTACTCCCTGTCTAGGACAGAGGGGTGACTGGAATATCAGTTTGGTGCCTGGGAGCTCTGCCTACTTTCCCTGTCGGATCACTCTCCTCCCCTCCCCACTTCTCCTGCCCCTGTTACTGAGCCCGGTATCTGGGTTTCTGATGCTCTAAATGGATTTCCCAAGAGGCAACTCCTGCCAACGGGGTTCCCAGATCCATTGCCTGGATTCCCTGGTGTCATGCCTGCCTGCCACATGCCAACTTCTCTGGCATTGTGACTGACCTGGCATAACACGGAATGCTTCTTAACACCAAGTGAGTTACACAGGCCCCTGTCACCCTGTCCCTGGCCTGATGCAAAGTCTGAGCCAACTCCCAGTATGAAAAGCCACATGCCCTATATAGCTCAATAGAGCCACCCACAACCCATATCACCATGATTTATATGCCCTGTGCCTGAGGACACACTCCTGAATTTTGGTATCAATAGAAATGGTCAATAAATTTTCAGAAAAAGGTTGGTACCAAGATTCAGTGTGGAGCACAGAGGATACTTTAGGGTCATTACTATGTCATGTAATAAACCAGTGTGGCTACATCCGTTTTGTCCCTTATCTCACAGTAGCTACATTGCTTTTCCCAGCTGCCCTGGCAGTTAGGTGTGCCCATGGGAATAAGTTATCTCCCATTTGTGATACCTGGTATTTGCCACTCCTATTCAAGCCCTTAACACCTCCTTCACACACTCCTCTCCAGTTTTCCCCCTTCCTTTGGCTGAAATGGTGATGGCAGTCATGCCATCCGAGGCTGCAAAAGACAGCCTCGGTCCCTGAGTGACTGTGTGGACCTGGGTCTCCTGAATCAGAACCCATTCTGGATGTTGTAAGTGAGAAAGATGAACTTCTGTTGTGCTTTGACCATTGCTTCGCTGGTCTATTTGTTATAAAAGTTTAGTCTATTTTAGTTGATAAAACTGGCCATGGCAATTGCTAGTGGCACCTTACAAGCCCTGTGTTGGTATTTTTTTAATAGTCATGGGGAGTGCTATTAATGCTAATTCCATTGATGGCTACTAGTCATTGAAGGCCCATTATGACCAGGCACCGTGATAGTGACTTAGTAAGTATTGTTTTTATTCCTCAAACACCTCTGATGGATGGGCAACACAATGCCCAACTAGCAGAGGAAGAAACTGAATATCAGAGGAGTTGTATAGCTTGCTGGCATCACAGCTGGCTTGTGCCAGAGTTTATACTTTCCTCACTATGTCAACATTGCAATGATAGGAAATGAGTTGTAGGTCAAAAGGTTTCTTAATGCCTATTACTTGGCAAAATAATGAATCCTATAGGTTTCACAATTGCTACCTACTATATTCTATCTCATTTTTCATTTTAATATTATAAAAGGATATATAACTGCTCTGCATCTAAAATAGAATAATAGTACAGTAGCCAGCTCCCTATCTATGAACAGGTTAGAACTGTTCCAGCAGATTTTATAGATGTCTGTTCAAAAGTCCAACATGACTTTGAAGGGCTTGAACTTGTAGTCTCTGAATAAGGAATGTGAGCTTTAAAAACAGGCCCACTCTCCCTTTCTTCAATGATATAAGATCTGTGGGGCATCATTTTGCAAAAAGGATCAGTTTCTTCTATGATGAAAATTACGAGGAGGGCACCTGGGTGGCTCAGTCAGTAAAGCATTGAACTTTGGCTCAGGTCATGATCTCATGTTTTGTGGGTTGGAGCCCCGCATCAGGCTCTGCACTGACAGTGTGGAGGCTGCTTAGGATTCTCTCTCTGTCCTTCCCCCACTCATGCTCTCTCTCGCTCTCTCTCTTTCAAAATAAATAAGTAAACTTTAAAAAAAAGGGAAAAGAAAATTAGGAGGCTGGTGACCACCCTCCCTTGTCTGCCCAGCACAGTACACAAGGCTCCAGCTATGAAACCAGCCACTAGTCTGTGGCAGGACCTGGACCGAGGCAGCCAGCAGAGCTCTAGACTGGGGATTTGTCAGGAGCACCTGTCCACCCTCAGCCTTTTAGCTTGCAGACTCTCAGTTGTTTCCTGAATTAGCTTCAGGCTAACAGGCATTGGACAGGTCTCTTCTAACATATATTGTACTTTGTGAAACCCTTTTCCCCTATCACTTGCCAATTACTATCATCTGCATGGCACTTGAAGCATACTGTGTGAGTTATTCTTTGTCCCTTAGAATTATTTGTTCAATTGAATGATTCATCTTTATACACACATATAGCATTGCTTCCTCACCACTTGCTTTTTTTTTATTATCTTAATTTTTTCCTATATTATCTATCTACCACAAAGGGCACACCACCCCAAGCTGGACTACATTGGCATGAAGGTTATTTTTTAGTTAAAAGCCATCAAAACCAAGCAGATTCAGGAAAAGCTCTTTATGTTCCCACCTCAACTACTTAAAAGAACTTAGATAGAGGTCTGGCTCCAGGAAGGGAGCTATCAAAAGAGATAACTCCACAACACTATGAACTAGGTGTAGTAGAGACAGAGGAATCTAGCAAAGCCTGTTTGATCAATGTCCTCTGTGTCTCATTCTTTCTGAGTGGCCCAGCAAACATTTGTTTACCAAACATTTACTCTTTTTCATCATTCTGTGAATTGTAGGAAGTTTCAGACCCCTATAGCCTCTTTCTCCTTAGTTCAGAATGATATATACACTTCATTTTGCTTGAGTGTCTTGGAATTTCCATGTCTGTGTGGGTTTCTTATACATAGGAAATTAAATTTGATTTTCTCCTGTTAACCTGCCTCGTGTCACTTTGATTCTGAATCTGGCCAGAAGGACCTTGAAGGGCAGAGAAAATCCTTCTACCCTGACACCAGCATTTCAACGTTCTCATTGCTTTTGCACTTATCAGAAATGATGAGATTATTAATACTCTTGAGATAATTCAAAATTGGGAGCAGCTGGGTGGCTCAGTCGGTTGAGTATCTGACTTTGGCTCACGTCATGATCTCACAGTGCATGAGTTCAAGCTTCATGTCGGGCTCTATGCTGATAGCTCATAGCTTAGAGCCTGCTTTGGGTTCTGTGTCTCCCTCTATCTCTCTGCCCCTCCCCCACTCACAGTCTCTCTCTGTCTCTCAAAAATGAATAAACGTTAAAAAAAAAAAAAGATAATTTGAAACTAAGCACAGACTCATGAAGCAGACAATGAAATGGACATAATGCCTGGGACTGAAGGGATGACTGTGACCATCAGCACCATCTGCTGGTGCCATCAGATTTCACATCCTTTCTTTATCACAAGTTTTAGGTTCTGTTTCCAGTATACCAAAGCTCAAAGTTGGTTCTGGAGTACAGGAGTCAGAGCATAAATAATTTCAATTAGTTTAACAACCACCCAGTTAATAACTAGCCGATACTTCTACTGAAGTACTTCTATATGTCTAAAATATATGGTAAACTCTAAAAACTATTCACATATACCAGGAACCACATATAAAAATTCCTTTTAAGGTAAGTCAAGATTTGCTATTATTCCAAAGTGCTAAAATAATATGAAGAACTAATCAAGGCTTGCATAGAGCGAGTTCATTCTGATACAACTTACCCGTTCTACAAATCCACGAAATACAAGTTCAGTGTAGTAGACCGAAAACAGTATGATCCAAAGATATTTCCTTTATTAAAAAACAACCAGATTGTTGGCTCAAAAGTGATGACTTATGATGCCAATACCAGATGGAGACAGTCTCAGGATACTGTTGCCCCTCAGCATTCCCAGAGTGAAGATGAAGAGGCTTCTGGGAGAGGGTACCATCCCCGCCTCTGAAGCTTCCATATGATGCTATGTTCCAGGGAATATACTCTTTAATTATTCCTACTGTCACATAAGGAAGAGAGGAAAACTACCCCTACCTGTGTAATTTTTGCTTTCAAAGCACTTCCAAGTCCAATATATCATGTGACCTTCATTATCAATCCTATAAGGGAATCAGAGCAGGTACTGTCCCTTTACCAAAGAGGTAAGGTGACCTGTTAATAGATAGGAAAGCAGAGATTGAAACCCATGTCCTCTCCATGTCTACAGCTCACTTCTTCCATGGGGTGTCTCAGAGAGAATGCATGCAAGCCACTGCAGCCACTTCCCATTCACTACATTACAGAGGCTTCTGCAGCTGCTGAAACTCTATGGGCGGAGTTAAAGCAACCTTATCTGCTTTATATCCCCTTTACTTAAAAGTAAAAACTGCCACAGAATATGGCTCTGCAAAATAAAGTGAAAACTTGAAAGCCAATGGCATCAGAAGGTAGTAGATATCCTGCAGACACTGAGTCAGAATGGTCCCTTCTAGTCAGTGCAGGCCTAACCAGATCTGGGAGTGGAGAGCATCTGTATTGACCAAAGGGTTGTGTGTGTGTGTGTGTGTGTGTGTGTGTGTGTGTGTGTGTCTGTGTGTACGTCTCTGTGTGTGTATTGTATGTATATACAAATTGCTGTTAAACTTAGAATTATGGCAATTCAAATTTATATAAGCAATTGGGTTATCAAAAGATACTATAGTAGCATCAGTATTACATGATTAAAAAGCCTATT